CACTGTAATTTTTGTTACCTCAAGTGCACCATGAACAGAGCTTAATTGCTCAAATTCAACAAATCCAAAACAAAAGCCTTGCTGCAGGAGAAAGAAAGAAAATGTTAACAAGATAATAGACAAAAATCAGGTTGAAACAAAATGAAAGACATTAAACTAGGATAGGACCTTATTACTCCTAACTTGAATACCATCACGCTTAATTGGCCCAAATTTCTTGAACTCTTCCTCAAGTTGTTCAACTGTAGCATCAAATGGCAAGTTCCGTACATATATGGAGTGACCTTCGGCTGTAATTAGTATTAGCAAAACATTACATTTCCATGAAAATGTAAACATGTCATTATGACACCGACTGAAAAGAACAACCAAAGCACTATTTATTTGTTTTAATAAATTCTTGTTTGCAATACATATAAAAATGATTTGCTGAAATGAACTGCTAAAAAAATATAGATATCAACATGAGCACACACACCTTCCTCATGAAGGTTACTGCTTTCAGGAAGATTGTCACCATTTACTGCAGAAGCATCGGAAACTGGAGCAGGTTTAACCAGGCCAATAGATTGATGATCAGGATTTGCAGGAGGTGCGGCTCTTACAGGAGTAGTTGCAACATAAACAGGACCAGATATTGACTTTGGCACCTTAACCTGTGAAACAACAAGCCATCTGAGTAAATGTCTGAAACAAGATTGGCACCAAAATATCAAACATGCAGAAAGAAAAAATAACTCACAATTGATGCATACGACTTCTTTGGAGCATCTTCTTGGGCAACAGGGGCTGCATCAGCTGTCACAACTACTTCATGCTCAATTTGTTGTGGGGGCTCAGGAACCTCCTCCTGTTCAATGACTGATCCTTCGTCATTACTGGAAGGGTCACAAACTTCAGGATCATTGTTCATGTCTTCCTCTTCCAATGAAATTGGAGGTTCCACAGTAAGATGATTAGGAGCATGAGATGGTTCTGAAAATGGGGCAGAAAGCTATCTCACAATTCCACAATAAGGCACATCAAAGTAAATATCATCTGGAAAAGTGAATATACCTGGTTCTGGTGTTGAAGTAACCGTTGTAGTATTCTCTTTGATGGCATCGCCAGAAGAAGAGTTACTTCGATTAGATTCAGTCTCTTCAACATGTCTTAACACATCATTTAAGACATAGTAGCCTTTGTCCTGAGGAGCAAGAAAAAATGTTTGGGAAAATTTTCTCCTCAAGTTGTCCTTCCCAGTTAGGCATCCTGTTACCAAAACAATCACTCCTTTCTCATGAGACTCCTGAGCATCAGCAGTTATTATTTCTGCTGTATAGTCTCCATAATTCAAGGATATGATCTTGTCATTTATTGCCTGTCACAATACAAATTGAACTTCAATTGCTAACCATACAATGCTCATTGATTTATTACATCATTGAAGTAAGACCAATTCAGACCAATAGGAAAAATTCAGCTCTTTACAATAATCTAGAGAAGATACATGGATCAACATCAAGTAATAATGACAGAGAGACTGAAACTCAAAAACCATTACACTACAACCATAAACAATTTGGAAATCAACCACAATTGCTCTTGGACAAATTGTCTAAATCTTCAAATTAATAGGATGTGATTAACAGGTATTGTAGTCATTCTGGAATTATGTCGCAGTAATTACCTGATTTCTATAGATATATCAGATTGGTTTTAATACTAATATAATTCGTATCTTACATGTGAATGTATGTTTCTCTTCAAAGTCGGGAATGCATACTAGAGGAGATGATATTGACTAGAATAACTTTCAAGTGGAACCCGAGTCCTCAGAAATAAAATACATACTTTTCCATTACATTGTTGGCCTACTTTATCTCTCACTGTGATTACATGTATGCATTTACATAATCCATATTCCATCCATAAATAATTTCACAACCATATGCTCCAAACACGATTATAGTACAAATGATTCACAGCAAAAATTTCCAAATGCATGACCACAGGATTGGTACTAATTTCATACATATCCCTGACTTCAAAAACTAAATAAATAAAGGTAAGATAACTATTCAAGCCATATCGGGTATAAATATCATGTATACATCATAAAAGCTTACCTGCATGCCTGTCACTGTTGTCATCACTCCATTGACATCTGGACGGCTTAGCAAACTTGAATCCTGATAAAACCGATGCACCGATTGTGGAGAATGATGAAGGATGTGGTAATACTGCCCAACAAACGCATTCCCAACCACTTGGGCACTGGGAGCAGGGGAAGAACTGGCTTCCTGTGTTGCCGCCATCTACAAGATCATTTAGAGCATATCATAAGCATAGCTCAATGCAATATAACTAGTACCAGAAAATTCACCTACGCCTTAAATTGTAGGTTAAATAGAAATGTGACTGAAATCTAAAAGAAACAATTGAACTATATATTACTTAGTTTTTTTTTTTTTTTTTTTAAAAAAAAAAAAAAAAAGAAGCAATATATAGGCGCCTAGCCGGCGACATTTAGGTATTACTTAAAGCAACATTTCTTTAGGGTTTATATATTAAATGAACTGAAGACTGAAGTAAAACCACGAATAAAATTTTATAAAAATCAGTAATACGATCTTCTTACGGCTCCCAACCTCTACTTCATCTCACAAACATGCACATAATATCGTAGATTGTTTAAGAACATATATGTAAAACAACAGTCAGGTTTTACACAATATTTGCAATAGACCACGCAGTATACTATCACGTCAATACAGGTGAGAGATAAGAAACATTTATGCACGACTAGAAAACTGACAATCGAAAAGGATAGAGGCAAATCGTCGCCGAACAGTAATGGGTAGCAAAATGGCGAACGAATGCGCTGAGCCCTAAATGGAGAAAAAAAAAAAAAAAA